CCCCAAAACCCCAAAACCCCAAAACCCCAAACGGAAAATAAATAATTGAACAACCATCCCATCATGTTCAGCAAAATCAAAGGTGCCAAGGATAATCCTTCCCTAAAAGAACGTAATTCTATTATCGTAGGCATTCAGAAGGCTAAAGGACTCTTTGAACTCCAGTTAATACAAGCAGAGGAGGAGAATTTACAGTTGAAGAGGGAAAAGGAGGAGTGACAGATGAAGTTGATGGAGATTGTGAAGAGACTTGAAGAGTAAGAGGATGAATAGGTTTATTTGTTAGGAAATTGGGTAGGAATTTTTGGGGGTTTTGGGGTGGGTTTGGAGGTGAGGAAATATTGGGGGATTTGGGGGATTTCTGAGCAGCTTCGGAAATGTTATGTTTTGGTAATCATAGCAAGTTCTCTCTCTTTATAAGTTTTGGCTCATTTGCTAGACAAAAATATTTTGAAGGAAAGCGTTGTATGATAGTATTAGTACTCTTAGATCCTAACTTAATTCTTATTGAAGAGATGGTGTCACGTATTGGAAGAAATCAAGCAAAAATTCAGGCATTCAAAGTATGATACATTTTTAATTCGTCATGTTAATTTCTCTTTAGAAAATCAAACCCTAATCCGTACTGAGATTGAGAATTTTCTCAAACAAATGAAAACAGACAAACAAATAATAGAAGGCAAAAGAGCTCTTTCTCCTGACAGAAATGACCAACTATCAGACATGAATTCAACTGTTAAAGAAGAGAATGAAGATGTATCAAGTAATAGCAACGAAAGTGATTATTATTACGAAGAAAGTGCTAGTCCGATGCGAATTACTTCAGGAAAGAACATCAGACTTTCAGAAGCACAAGACGCAACAAATATTACAGATCTGACTATTAGCAGTAGTAATAAAAAGAACGGGTTTTTGCCAGAAAATTTAAACGATACAAAATGAGCACCTTCTGTTAATTCACAACAAGAGCCTGAAATTAAAATTTGTAATGATATTACTAAAGAAGAAGACAAATTTCAAGATACATCCCACAGTCGCTCATCGATATTCACTGATCATAAGAACTTTGATCAGAATGCTGACAAATCTCCAACCACAGAATCTCTAAACCCAACAACCAGGAAAGATAAAAGAGTTTCATTTGCATTGGATAACTCAGAAGACGAATATACTTCTGAGGGCCATCCTATTAAAAATACTGATAAGGGAGATGGAGGAGTTTATTCTCAACCGTCTGATGATAACATGCATAAAGAGTCCTTAGCTACAACCTTAAAACCTAGGAGAATTACCAATAATTCTGCTAAATTTAGCTTCAGCAAAAAGGCTGGCTTAAAACGGTTCCAGACTATGAGAAATGGCTTAGAAGAAAAGAAAATGTTCATGAACCAAGTTAAAAAATTGATTAACCCGAAAGTTACACAATTTGACGAAGATCTGGTAAGATTTGACCTACATCCAACTTACACTCTTTAGGCTATAAATATGGATATTACGAAAGGAGATCATTGTCAATTCATCTCTCTTTGGGATGGAGTAGACATCCCAGAGTTTAGAGGGTTTTATCTTGGATATAAGATACATCCAAATAAAAAACACGATTATGATAAAACCTTTGCACTTATGAGCCAAAGAAAGGAGCCCCAATTCATATCGTTTAAACTTGGAATGTTGAACTTGCTAAGTCATGCACTCTCACATGTTTACCTCGACCTATTCACCCTTGGTATGATCTTTTGTTAAAGCTCTGTAGATAATCGTTCAATGAAGCTAGTAATGGAGAGCTGCTTCCGTACCAAAAAGCTCACCCTTCGGGGATGTGAAGTTCATATTAATCGGAGCTTTAGCATTAAACTCTCCCTTCGTTACCTTCTTGAGGACATTAACTTTTTTGGTACTCTTGATTGGAACGATGACAACTATATGGACGAGAGCAAGCTCACAATATTTGCTCTTGCCCTCTCAACAACAAATATTAGAAACACCCTGAAAATAGCTAGAGTCGGAGAAAAACTGTTCCCGACTAGGATTGTTGAAAAAGTATTCAAAGAGTAGGTCTACCATTGTTTTCTTATGTTCTTGTCAATTCTAACGAAGGGTATGATTTATATGTACTAATAAATGCCCTGAAGAAATTAATAAGCCTTAACTCTATAGAAAACAAATTCAATTCTTTTTCTATTCTTGACTGTTCTCCAACATGAACATTTTAAATCTAACCTACTTTCTACCTCATATCAAGAATTGTTATCATATCTAGCTGTATATCAGCCTCATTGTGAGACTTCAGAGGGTCAAATCCTCTAAATTTCTATTCCACATTGCATTAGCTGATAATCTTAGTTTTTGACATAAAAATAGCGCCAAATTCAAGATTGAAGTAATTGGTGAACACCAGATTTACAGAGGAGTCGCATAACCATTTTAGTCATTTTCAAACACGAATAAGTAATAAGGGGTTTTGGGGTTTTGGGGTTTTGGGG